ACAGGCGCGCGCCACAACGCCTGGCCATTTTTTGGTTGCAGCCATCATTGTTGTTTGGCGGGCCCGGGCTGGGGATTCGAACCCGCCACCTTTAGGTGTATGTGGCTGGTGCCTTAGCCACTTGAGCCATAGGCGCCAAGCCTGAATCCAGGTCTTGAGCTCTTTGGTCACCCCCATGCCCTGCTGCCTCCTAGAACCCCTGCCAGCTCCTGGCCCTACAGGTTGACAGCCTGTCCCTATAGAGGAAACTTTGGGACATTTGTCCCCATAGAGCATCCATCCACTTCCTTCCTTCTGGTGAATATTCTAAAACCATTCTTGGTAGTGGCTACCAGGAAGCTCCCTGTCATCTGGCTGCTAGCTGAGATAACATTAGCCCTGAGCTGGCTTTTCCCCTCTGAGGCTTGAAACATCCCACTGGGTGGGGACAGAAAGGGCCAAAGGTGAAGCAATTTCAGCTCCAGCCCTGGCTACAGGCCTCCACCCCCACCCCCATGCTGGGCCACCCAGACCTTAGTTTACTGTCCCTTCCACGGGACCACCACATGAATGGCCAAGGGGTTGTTGCCAACACCTGTGTCCTGGCAGGTCCCATCAGGGCCTGAGGTCAGCCTGTATCCTTCCTATCTCTGGCCCCCACCTCCCACCTCACTGGTTCCTTAGGGGTGGCAGGGCCACCTGAAGGATCAGGGACAAGCCCCTGTACCCCCACAACCCTAGGGGGCTGAGAAGGCAACATTGTAATCCTCTATCCCCGAGGGTCTCTACAAACATCTCTGCTGCTCAAGGCAACTCCAGGGAGAAGGGCTAGCAGCCTTTAGTTAAGTGCACATGAAGGCTGGGAGGTGGAATGATGTCCTCACACCTAAGGGCACAGCTCTGCCTCAGGAGGCTCCTAGGCACATGAGAATAAGCCAGAAATAGTCCCTGAGAGCCTACTCACCCTAGGCACCCCCACAGCAGGCTGAGGAGGCCCATCCAGGGATCTGTGCCCAGATACCATCCTCTGTCCTTTTCTGGAAAAAATGTCCTCCGGGAAAGATTTCTCCAGGAATCTTTCAGCCAGGGACAAGAAAGTGGGGGATGAAAGGAGAAACTGAGGGACAGTTCTCTGCTTTCCATGAGACTCTAAGCTCTAGGCACACACCCCCTCCCCCACCCCTGCCCCAGTTGCCCACTTCATGACACCAGGCTCAGCCTTCTCTCCCTTCGCTCCTCACACCCCTGCCCCCCACTCCAGTTCTCACATTTGAGGGGATGATGTCCAGGCCTGGCTCAACCTCTGGAAGGATTTGATCAGGACCTGGGAGCCCTCCCAGCGCTGGCTTTAGCCCCATGGATGCAGGGGAGGGGTAGAAAGGCTTACCAGCTGCCTGCTCTGGGCAAGGGGTTCTGAGAGGTTCCTGGGCACTGGGACTGCTGCTTAAAGCTCTGGCCGGCTCACTACTTCAGTTCAGCAACAATGTCTTGGTCAAGGGGGAGGGCAGGCAGGGCTGTCATGCAGGTTTGCCAGGGAGGAAACCTGTGGTGCCAAGGTAGCCTGGGACAACTCTGGCTGCAGGGGAAAGTGGGAGGCTTTCCTGGTAGGTGCCAGGGTGAAGGGGTTCCAGGAATAGACAGGGTTTGGGAGGTCAGTGGGAGGTTAAGGGACTACGACATTTTGCTGTCCCCACCTCATCTCAGGGGTCAACCCACATGAGCTTTCCACTAAAGCACCCTGGCCCCCGTCTCTGGGCAGACAATGCTTAACCCAAAGAAAGAAGCCTGCCAGCCCTCATATGTGCCCTCAAAAGGTCCCCCTTCACCCCTCCCATGCCCCTTCCTGCACACATGACTGGCCACCCCACCCTTGAAAGCTGGACAGTGCTCCTTGCCTGTAGGAGTGGGGGATACAGCCCAGGAACAGCAAGGGGCCCAGAGATGGGGTGCAGACTGCAGAGGGGAGGAGTGAGACTCCCAGCAGGAGACCCTAGACTCCTGCTGAGGGACCTCCAGGAGGTGGGGACGCCCCTTAAGCTAGGTGGGTCCCTAGCTCACCCTGGTGTCTGACTGAGCCCGCCCCCCTCCCCTTGTCAGGCAGGGCGACTGAAGCCAGGGGCAGATGCAGCCGGCCTGCTGCCAACCTGCCCAGAGCTGGGTTTAACAGTTAACCTCACTCTCCATCCCGTTTATCTCCCAGGCAAGGGCCCAGTTCCATCCACCTACCCAGGCCTGCTCCAAGCCAATCAGGGAGTGGCAGTAAATATTTGTGAATGCAGCAGTGTCCATGAAGGGTGGACAGGTCATTTACTACAATTGCCCACTGCAGGGGAGATTCCTGAAAGCAGGTGCTGGCACTACTTAATGCTGGCAAGGGCAGTAGATTCCCCACCCCGCCTGGAACGCTCTCTACTCCATCAAAGCAACTTATTCCTGAGTCAGCACTGGGGCCAGAGGGCTGAGAGGTGCCAAAAGCCACTTTGTCCTGGCCAGGCTCAGCGTCTCGCCTGGCGGCTCCAGCGCCAGATCCCACGCAGGGAAGGCCTCCTCCCGCGAGACCCCGGCTAAGCTCAGGAAGGAACCTTCTCGCACCTCCAGAGAGTAGCCTGGGGCCGGCGCCCAGCCCCGACTTGGCGAGGGCGGGGAGGGAGCGGAGCCCGGTGCGGGTAACCCCGCCCCGCCCCGCTCCGCCCCGCCTCTCTCCAGCCCCGCTCCAGCCGCGCGGTGCTCACGGGGGCGCGGCTAGGCCAGCGGGCTGTGCCCGAGACGGGCTCTGAGGCTGGGGCGGCTCGATCCCTACGAGCGCCGGGTGCGCTGGCTCCGCGAGATCCAGTCCACGCTCCGCGAGCAGCAGCCCGAGCGCGCCCGGCAGCTGCTGCGCCTCCTGCGCCTCCTGCGCCAGGCGAGAGAAGGAGCTGGCGGCCTGGGGAGGGCTGGGGACGCGGGGGGCGCCGGGGGCTGTAGGCGGCGGGCCTGTAAGCTGCTGGGTGGCGAGGTGGAGCTGGCCTCGGGCGCAGGCCGGGCCGGTTCTGAGGGTGGGACGGGCTGCAGCAGGTGGGGTCTCGTTTGGGCGAAAGCGCGGTGGCTGGAGTGAGGGTCACTCGAGGACAGAGTGTGTGAAGGAGAGGGCTGCTGAGTGTGTCTGGGTCCCTGCAGTTTGAGGGGGGTTGTGTGTGTTGAGGGCGACCCCGACCTGGAGCTAAGAGCCCAGATACAGGCCTAGGCAAAAAAGGAGGGAGGCTGGGAGGAGGGCACATGGGGTCAAATCATCTCCTATTAGGGGATGGTGGAAAGAAAGAGAACAACTTCCCCCTCCTCCAGGATGAGGGGAGGTATTGGACCCTGAAGGTGACAGCCCTACTGGTCTGAATTAAGGGATACGTGGGAAGGCACAGGGCTCAGCGGGAACACTGGGAACAGCCTCAGCAGGTGACACCACCGCAGCCCAGAGTCACAGCATGCACCACCTGTCCTTCCAACAGACGCCTCTGCTCACTGAGTACACATACCCAGCATCTATACAGAACAACACATCTGGGTGGCGACAGCTCTGGTCCCACACTCACCAGGTGTCCTGATCCTAAATCCCAGCCCTGGGTTGCTGTAGGAGACATGGGTGCTGGTCCTAGCATCACCACAAGGCAAGCTGCTTCTTTCTCTATTCCCCTGCCTGACTGTTCCCATCCCCTGTAGCAGCTCCTGCTACCACCTGCCCCATCCTGTGAGCTGAAATCAGCCACGCATATTTTGGACTGCAGAAGGTGGATGACTAGAGATTTGGAAACTGAGGCATGAGGAGATGTGGTGAGCCCACGGCCCACAGGGAGCATGGCGGGCAAGCCAGAGCCACAGCCTAGCCTCCCAGCCCTTCTCCACCTGCTGCACCTGGTTTCCTTGCTGTGGGCTCAGCAAGCTGGAAAGGAGGAGCTGGCCCTTTAAGAGGAGCTGTCCAGACCAGCCTAAGGCAGGCTGGCAGACTGCAGGCTGGGGCCCTGTCTGGGTCTGCCCAGGCTCACCAGCTACCCCTTCTTCTGGATCCTCCCTAACTGGCATCTGTGGCTTGAACCTTGTTGAGAATGCAAATACCAGAGTAGCATGAATTGGCCAGATGCCCAGAGGCACAGATGTCTGTCTGCAGTGACATCTGGAGCCGGAGGCACCACTTGGGCATTTTAGCTGGGAAATATCAGGGAGAAGGGCCTTCAGAGACCACTTAGGTCACCCCTTCCATCCCAGAGGTTGGGATTGGAGGCCTAGCAAGGGACCTATCCTGCCCTATAACCTGCAGGACCCTGCACTGTGGCCCATGGACACTCTTGCTTGGCCTTTCTTCCTGTGCCCATGTCACTCTTTGGCTTGGGGAGGACCCACACGGTCTGGAGGCCCCTCCTGGCCATGGTTACCCTGTCAGCTGTGAGTATATTCTCTAAATGGACCCTCTAGAATGGAGTTCAGCCCCACACTAGGCCTGTGTTAGTAAGACAGGAAAAGGCTGACAGGTCAGGGCAGGGGCCCAATAGTGGGTCTATGTGACAGGTAGGAGAGGCTGGGCAAGGGGGCTGGCAGGCCAGGGAGGGCATCACTCTCAGGCACTGGGAATTCTGAAACTCTCTGCAAACTGTGCATGAGTCTGATGTTATGTGACTCCCAGAGCATTGGTTTAGCTCAGGTGTATTTCATTTGGTTTAGCTGAAGAGGGTGTTGGAAGGCTGGGAGCCCTAGGAAGAAGCTGTTGGGGGATGAGGCCTGACACTTGGCAGGAAAGATGGGGAGAGAGAAGGAGACTAGTCACGTGAGCTGCGGAAGAGGTAGAGGGAAGACTGATTGGGTGATTCACGGGCTTCTGGCTTCATTACCTAGAAAGATGGCCTTGGGTTGGGGCACAGGAAGCAAGGATAGCTTCAGGGTAGGAAATGAACATATTGCTTTTGGGACAGCTGAGGTGGGAGAGAGGTCGACCCCACAGGGAAGATCCAGACCTGCCAGCAAACTGACTGTGGTTGCACCTCAGCAGAAGTAAGGGATACGTGGGAAGGCACAGGCCCAGAGAGAATGCTGGCAACAGCAAGATTTGGGGGTCATAAGAGGTGTAGGGGATCCCAAAGAGTCACCTCACTAAACCCCAACCTCAGAGAAGGCAAGGTGTCACAGCACAGCACTGCACCTCCAGGGAACTGGTCTGCCTCCTGGAGGTCCCCGAGGCACCTCCCACCTCCTCACCTGAGGGGTCCATCTGCAGCTGGACAGTTGGCCCATTTGCCTATGGAGAAACTCCAGCAAGCCTCAGGGAGGAAGACAGAGAGATGGGAACAGGTGTAAGCTGCATATGGATGGCTGAGATGGGGCCTGAGCAAGGGAGGGCCTCACCAGCTCATTCAGCTCTCTCCACTACCCACAGGACCTGGGCCTTGAGGGGTCCTTCCTTACTGACATTCTCTACAGGGACGTGGCCTTCTTGAACCTGGTGGACCCCATCTCCTATGACCCGCTGGGGAACCTGGGGCCTGCAGTGCCCTAAGAAGGTGAAGCCAGCAGGCTCAGGCCCCAAGCTGGGAAGTATGGTTGGCAGGGCCCAGGAAAGCCCGGGCTGGGGCCCTCCTATGGCTTGCTTTGTAGATTGAGGCAGGTCACTGTCCCTCTCTGAGACTTGATCCCAGCTTCAGTGTATCAAGCTGGCCAGCAGCTACCGTGTGTGTGAGCTGTGCTTTGCTAGACTCTGAAAGTCATGTGTTTTCTGGCCAGTGGCACTGTGTGCCAGGCCTGGGGACCCAGGCAGGGGAGACTGTAGCTGGGCAGAAGTCATATGGGGACCTTGTGGGACACAGACTATTCTGACAAATCCACTAAACAACCTTAACTCTTTTTTTTTTTT